CAGGCCATCAAATATATTCTGCAATGTAACAAAGCATCTCCTGCAGTGCCACAAACAGGGTAAAAAAAAACTGTTCACATGGAGACAGACACTCGGTTGAAGAACTGGACCTTGCAACATGTCTCGAAGACCTAAAGGTTTGTGCTGCTTATTTGGACAGCAAAGAGAAAGGTGTTTCACACCAGCACCTGTCTCTGAAAAAGCTTTTCTGCTTCCAGTCTTCAAAATCTAAATGTAGAAGAAACTGTGATTCCAGTTTTCTTAAGTATCACAGAGCACAGCTTGCAGCATATAAGGGAAATTCCAATTCTTATGCTGATACATTTTAGTATAGAAGAGAGTAATTCTTAAGCTGAAGTCATGTCACTTGTCACCAGCATACGGCTCCTGTGTATGGCTGTCTCATGCTCCTTCCCTTTCCCCAGAGCTGAAGAGAAGAGCAGCAGGAAAGCACTCTGGTTTGGATGCTGGAGAAGGACAAGATGATGCAGCACACTGCAGTTCTGCATGAAGTCAGCCAAACAGTGAGTTAATGCAAATTGATGACAGTGTAGTGTACTCTCTCTAGTCAGGCTGATCCTTAAATGGAGCATTAATAATGTGATTGGGTCCACTGTGTACACGGAAAATTGCCCACTCACTGCATGTCACAAGAAACGGGCTGCGAACTAGTGAACAATGATTTTTGACCTTGGAGCTGTGATGCCTTGGGATGCATCAGCCTAGTGAAAAACCTGTCTGATCAAGAACCTCAATGCCTATTCAGGCATCACACAGACATATGCTGCTTAGACCCAGCATAGATAAAAAAAAAGCAAGATTCATCTCCTCTACGACATCAGCCATTCTTCACTACATGTAATACGCAATCACTCTTTGGCAGTTTGGAAGTCATGCATGGGGAACAGGGGCAGTTGTTGGATTCATATGTGATGGAGACAGAAGAGAAGATCTTATAATGCTTACATGCGTAATTCTTTGAGAGGAAATCTGGATCTGCAGATGAATGTAGATTACAGCAAGATGTGTCTGCACAGTACATGTTCTTGAAGAGCTTCAGACAAAGATTAGTGCGAAGAGAATCAAGGCATTCTTGGTCTGACAAATTTATCCATTTGTGCAATGGAGATATATCTGAATGTGACCCTGGCAGGCTACAGAAATGTAAGAAGTTAAAAAAATTTCAAAGATTATTTCATATATTACTCTAATACTGTCTCGTAGCTGCCTTTCAGGAATCTTCCAGTGATGCACAACGTTGTTTCTTTGCCTGCAGGGCTTGGTCCTCTGCCCCCCAAAATGGAACAGGCTGTTAGTGCTAACTGAAGAGCTGCTCGCTGGCTCCACTCATCTGCTGCTCTGCTGCAAGTGCTTTTCTGTCTTTTGCTGAATTTCAGTGTCAAAGAGTGAGTGAGAATTAAATTGTTCCAATGCCTTATCACTTTGTGCCTTTATCATAAACTGTTGAAGGAAATAAGTATACTCTGAGATTACAGGATTTGCATCCTTAGGTATCCTGATCAAGCAGTCTGTGTCCATTCCTGTCTCAGCCATAAAACTCTGGCAATTGTAAGTCAAATATGACAGTGGCTAAACCTTTGCTCACCATAACAGTCCCTCTTATAGAGTTCATTTGCTAAAATTGAAATGCAGGATCCATGTTTTATGGGGAAGTTTATTAGTAAAAAAAAAAAAAATCGGAGTCTCAAAGATATTAAGTACTAAATGCTGCTACTAGTTCAGCACACATGATAAAGCTAGAAAGTTCTTTGCTGGCTGAAGCCTGCTTAGGCAGTTTCTGTAGCTGCATGGAGAAGGGAGAGGACAGAGCGGTATCGGTGGGCATCTCTTACTCTCAGTGCACACTCAGCAACTTGACAAATGTGAGTCCTTGTTTCTTCTTGCATACAGTGGATCTGACAATGATGGCATGCACTGATATGTATGGATGATGGTAGGCAGACTCAGATAAGCCTTTAAATCTATGTTGGCAGCTTGACTTATTACAAGGAAGAAAGAGAAGGAAGCCCTAAGCAATGTATCCTGCATAAAGATCATAACTTGAGACCAAAAGTCTGTCTGCACTGAGATAGTCGAGTTAACTACTTTGAGATGTCAGTGATAGCTTGTCAGTTATATTTAATCATGTATTGGGTTAGGTGGGTAGAGACAGGAAAATTCAGGCAATTCATACCTCTTAAATCACCTACGGCTTACTGCCTAAACCAGCTACGGCTTACAGCCCTTCCTATGTGTTCTAGGTCTTACATTGCAGTTATTATTCTTCTTTCTTAAACAACTGAAAATGAAAATTTTCATTCCAGAATGTATCTAAGTTCACCAGTATCCCAATTTTGCCAACCCTAAAATGGATTTGAAATACAACTATAAATATACATGCAGTCTATATTATTACAACTGGAAATGGAAGAAGTTGCAACATTTATTTTTTATTATTCTGCTTATAGAGATATCAGGTATAATTTGTATTTGAATGGCCCTAAGGAAACATCAGACTGAGAATTAATGCTGACAGAGTCAATGTCATCATGGTTATGTAAATTTTATGGTTTTGAAAATAAAAAGTCTGTAAGTCAAAATATAGAAAATTAGAGGAACCATGTTCTATCATGAATCAGTCTTTTGAAGCATTAGAGCATGGACTGTGGGAGAGTGTCTTCTCCTGGCTGAGTCCTGGTCTGTGATAAATAGAAAGGTTAAGACATGCTGGGGTTCATTCAATTCCTCTCAAAGAAAATTATTATTCAGTTACACGTTGGAGTTGTAACCCCACCACAAGACTTCTACATGGACATATATTACTGTCCTCTGTAATTGTTCTCTGAGCGACTCTAGACTGAATTTACCATTAACAAACCTCTGTCTTAAAATCTTTGGAATATTCCTGTTGGAACACTGCAGACATTTTGCCTCTCTTCTGCCTGCCTAATAACAGTACCAGAAGGTCACTGATCTCTCAAAGGAACTAAGCAAGCCATTTGAGGTGCATCAGTGCAGCTATTAATGGCATATGTTAAATGAGGTCCATCTAGGTCAGTGGATGAGGTGCTGAATGGAGATTCAAGCTAGATGGTTTCTCTTCCTGGTGCTGGTTGATCTCTGAACAGGTGGCTGCACCAGTGTGCCTCGGTTTCCCTTTTGTAGAATGGGGATAATGAAGCTTGCTTCTTTATAAAGCCCTGCAAGGTCTATTAGTAATAATTTTAAGACAGAAGTACTCTGATATTGAGAGAGGTCAAGGCTGAAAGCAATTTGAAAGATCAGCAATCAGTCATAGTGACTATTTAGTCATAGTTTGGTGAATTATGAGGCTGCCCAGATTACAAAAAGAGCCCTGGTGGAGGTATGTTAACTGAGCTGATAAGTGGGTATCACTCAGGCTAGTTCTGAAAAGCAGTAAGATAGAAATTATATGCTTATTTAAAAAAAAAAAAAAACAAAACTTTCCAGTGTAGCAAAAAATAATTTAGGCTGATTCTCAAAAATTGAGGGTTTTTTTGGAATGTTTAGCCTTTAACTTACCATAATGTAACCTGTGAAGCTTCTACCTCAGGAAAAGATTTGGAAAAGAAGGTGGGGGAGAGAGTAGGTTTCCCGTGTGTCAATGACTGTGTGGTTTGCATTTGCAGTCAGGGAAGAAAGTGGAAATAATCATGGTTGGGGAAAAAAGCAACACAAAATATTGTACACGTTGCCTATCTTACTTCCGTCTGCTAAAGCACTAATTATTAATGCTAATCTAATGAAGCCCAGAAGGGTTTTCTAAATAGTCTTTCAAGATCCTGTAATAAATCACTTAATAGAGCATTAAATTTAGAAAAGTGTTAATCAGTCAGTAATCAATATCAAGCAAACACTAGTTGTAGACTTTGGAAGAGCAAAGGTTCGTTGTGTTTCTGTTTGCCTGTACCACATGTGGGAAGCCTTGGGAGAGAGAATACCCACAAAATACAGACTGAAGAAGAGGGAGGGTATTCGAACTGCCAGGTAAGAATCTGGAAGAGGCAACCTACTGAGTCATGGATATGGAGAATTAATTAAGAACAGAGAAAAAAAACATGCTGTGAAAATGCAGAGAAATAAAGGCTCTGCTCCATAAGGTACTTTCTGAGCATCTCAGACCTCTGTTACTTTAAGTCTGGCAAATGAATCTTGATCTGCTTTAAAACCATGTCCCTTTAACAGGCTCTTGGTGCAGTGCTTCCCTCTGATATCTCTGATAATATTGTATCTCTTTTTTTTTCCCTTAATGCAGTCTAGTCTATTTTAGTGCAAACAATAGACCCTTCATTACTTTTAAGAACTGCAGTGTTTATCTTTAATTTTGAGGCTGTGTGCTGATATTTACATAGGGAAAGTGATTTATTCAATATTATAGCATTGCTGGTCTAATAGAAGCATAAAAATATCTTCTGCATTTTTCAATACTAATTATAGATCACTATTTAATCTAGTCATCGTAAGTGCATACTGTACTTATGTACATAGTGCACAGAATGCAAAAATAGATGGATCTGCTGGGCTAATGCAGCAAAGACATATTGTTCTTTCTCTCTCAGTAGGCAACCATAAGAATTTCATCTTATATCATAAACAGCAAAGCAATATGAGTAGAAAACTAAAACAGGCTATTTTAAGTTTTAAGAAGTTTACAGATAAATAAATTGTTTTGATTTTTAAAATGTACATATATCATTAACTATAGAGATCAAGTCAAACTTCATTGATTTTTCTTGGAGGAAGAAGGCAACTAGAATCTAAAGGTGAAAAAACCCCTAACCACTCATCCATTCATGAGAAAAGTTTATACTTGATTTTTTTGCCATAAATAATAAGAAGCAGAGAAATAACTAAAACATTCTTAATTTGTCATATAGAAGAATTAGAGAGTCTGTACTGTATGTAGTGACACTCAGAAACAAATCATACATAAGAGTAACCTTGGTACATGGGGTTAGAAAGAGCAGGCAAGGACTTACCTACTGCCTCTGTCTTGAGAATGTGCAGAGAGAACAGAACAAGGAACAGCAATTCCATTATCTATTTTAAATAGGCTCAGTGTTGAAACCAGAATTGATTAGACTTCTTAGTATGTGATCATATTTCTGCTCTCAGTTTTATACTGGAGTAAGTAGTCCTGGACAGACCTGAAAGCCATAGCCAGGAAGGTGAACTCCTCCCCTTTGTAATTTCTCCAGATTTACCCTACTCCTGATTTGCCTAAATTTATTAATTTCTCCAAAATGAATGGCAAAAGGAGGAAGACTTTCTAGCACTAAGCAAGTAGCCTGTAGTGAATAACTGATACTTTGCCACCTATGCACATTTAGTAACCTATTACTAAACTGCTACATTTTTATTTACTAGTAGCTTTTTTTTCCTGACAGCCACATGCCATTCAATTAATGCATGTGTTAAAGTTACTGTTTTGCTTCAAAAAACCCAGTAAAACAAACAGAAAAACAACTCTCTTACCCCCCCATCCCTACCCCACAACCCTCCAAACAGCTCCTCAGGATTGGAGTAGATTTGAGGCTGGAAAATGGAACTTCTGTGTGCAGTAGCAGGAAATGTTTATTAGATGGCATACCAACACCTTACTTACACATGTGCTTTTGCACTTAGTTAATTAACTGAAAGCACAGCTTTTGTTTATTTGTTGGGGGGGGGTTGTTTTTGTTTTTTTTTTTTTTTGTTTGTTTGTTTTTTTTTTTTTTTAATTATACTTTTTCTTTGCTTTCCTGCTTCTGGTACTATAGTATAATGTATACAAATTTTTTTTTTTTTTCTGTCCCCATTACTTTCCTATCTGAATATTTTAATTCCGTATGTCAGATGCAGTGGCAATTCAGGCTTTATCTTCAAGAAACAAAGGTGTCTATGGAAAAGTGGCACTACTACGTTTTGCTCTATCATCTCTATTATAGACACATTTTCATCTTTTCATCTGGGGTTGGATTTTGATATATCTGAGGAAAACAAAAGAGGGAGTACAACTTCTTCCCCTTCCCCCAATGCCTCTCTGCCCATGAGGATGCAATCCATGTGCTGAGTTGGGTGCAAGAAGAAGATGCTTCACCCAACGGTCCTCCATGAGGGGGTGGACAGAGTGAAGTGATGTGCTGGCTGCACTGAGCAAGCCTCAGCATCCAGCATGGACTGAATTTTTAAAAAAAAAAAAAAAAAAAAGAGCCAAGAAAGTGCTGCTTGCCTTTCCCGTGAGCTGCGGGCTCCCAGGTGAAGAGTAGGGCCATTCTGCTGTTAGTAGTAGGGTTGCACAGGATCAGGACTGCAATAACAATGGGAAATCTGACAGCTGACTTATGAGCAGGTCTTTTATTCATAAAAAGGGTGGCTATAAATAACATTCCAACAATGAAGATTTGCTGGCTAGTGTTTTTCCATCCTGGATTAGTTAGATTAAAGCATGAACAGATGATGATTTGCCTAGCACATGGTGCTAAGATAAATTGTTACTGCAGTGACAAGAACAATAAGGGAATTTGTTGCATTTTTTAACTTCCTAGTTTGGCAGTCTCGGTGGAGCTATCTAGGCAAGGTGCATGCTGAGCACGTAGAGAGAAACAGGGGCGTGAACGTGGCGGTGTCAGATGGTGTCAGCCTTCAAGGGCATCTACAAGACATTTTACTCTTGGGCTTTTCTCTTTTTCTTTTCTGAGGATGGTCTTCAGTGGGGAAGCCGAACCAAAGCTCTTTGATTATTTTTTTTTTCACTCTATTTGTGTTTAGTCTCCTGAAAGCTAGGAGCCTGCTAGAAATCCTCTGTTTAAGACTGAAAAATCTGAGGGTTAAAAATTTTGATCTTGAAATTCAGGATTCTTGCTTTTGGCTTTTATTTTTTTCTTTTTTTTTTTTTTTTTAAACTTTTGTAATCCTTCCAGCCTGTCATTATTAGTGGCCATAAATTGCGCTGCAGTCATGTTAACTAAGTCTTTATTTGTGCTTGAAAGTGAAGGCAGAGTCAGAGAAAGACATTCCCTGTCCTTATAAAACCTGTAATCTAAATAAGCAGGGCAGACATCATGAGATCTTGGGTTTTTTCTAAAGAAACTTACCTGACAGGTGCTTGGTTATTGGTTCTCGATGGCATCTTTGCACCTAGGGATATTTTTGGAAGGCACTGCAATGCGGGTGGGTTTTTCATAAAGGCCTTTGGACATTGAACCTAAATACCTATAAGGATCTTAGTCAGAGAAGATAAGAGACAAAGTTATGCAGGGTGTCTATTGTAGATCACTGAACTCAAGGATGTTTTTTTCTGGCACAATGACTGCAGTTGTGTCATAGCTACAGGATAGGTAAGAACAGGAGGGAATATCAAAACCAGTGAAAACTGCTCTTATTTTGTGGCCTTGAGAGCCACAGCAGCAAGGATTTTGTAGCTGCTAGCTCCAAGCCTGGTGTCTGAAATGCATGAGATGTGACATTAGCCTGTTGCTAACAAAAGGGCTTCATGAGTGATTTGGAGGAACTGACGTGAGGGCTAATGAAGCTTGCATGTGTCTGAGCCAAATGATCCTGCCATGTGCTGAGGGAGGAAGGCCAGAGCTGTTCCTAAACCTTCCAGCCGAGCGGCTGCAGTCCCCTGTGTCCCAGCAGCACAGGCAGGAGGAGATGAGGGCAGGCTGGGTCTGATGCTGTGACACAAATGCATGAGAGTCCCAGTCAACATCAAGGTGGTGGCACAGCTCTTTGTGCTTGGAGGCTGAGCTGGTGCTCTTAGAAGGAAGATCTAAGGCTCGTGGGGGTGAGACTGACTTGAATCCAAATCCTGTTCACAGAAGAACTGACCTGGGAAAAATTATCACCGCAGTGGGAGAGGGAAGCACTTCCGAGAGACTTAAAACACAGATGAGTTTCATGATTAGTGACTGGGTAATTGGGAAACCTACCCCTCAGACTGAGAGAACACATTAAGTGCTCTTCATTTAGTTGCAATTTTCTTCATTAGAGCTCCCTCGCCACTGAACAGGAAATCTGGAATTTCATAGCTGTTGGTGTATCAGAAACATTAAGTCTTCATCTTTCACATGACAATGTGAGCTGGCTACCAGTCTCCCTGAGTCTGCTTTATTGTCAACCTTGTTCTACTACAAGGTCATTTCCGTGGAATAGCTGGAAGCATCTGCAATGTCTCTTTCTTTGGCCTTCTGCTCAGCTCTGGTGCATTAACCACTTACTATCTATTTTAGGCTGTACCTGAGGATTAGACGCTGTATTATGTTTTGTCATCGTTAGGAAAGCTGAACTTCTCTCCTTTTCCCAGTACTCATGTAAAGCATTGCTCTTTATGTGGATGAATGGTCTTCATCTGGTGAGTGACAAAACGCTAGCGATGTGCAGCTCAGCATTTCCTAGAATTATGAAGATGTATTCTGAAGGATGAATGCCTCTAAGCGGTATATTTAGCTCTGTGTTTGCAGCCTCTCTAGAGGCTTTGCCTGGTTTTAAAGCACACACACTTCTGACCATTGCTTTCTGGTAACAAGAGTCCTCACTGTGTCTCTGTAGTTGTTTAGTTCAGAAGGAAAATGCTCTTTATGTGGACCATTTCATGTCTAAAGGGGTAAGATGCATTCTGTCTTCTTTGCATATAAATTATCGGTGAGAGGCTTTGTTTCCCATGCAACCTTGGTTTCAGGTATTTTTCAGTGTTTGTCTCCCTTTAGACAGCATAATACAAGTTCCTCGAAGGTGAAAATAACAGTTCTAGCATCTCCGAGAAATGTTCAGGCTCTGCATTGAAGGGGAGAGGGCCTGGTTTGTGGGGGTGTTCTTGCAACAAGCTGTCCTTGCCATTATTTTGTGGCTTGCAGCCAGCATAATGCTAAACAGCAGTTGGATGCATTCAAGCCTGATGATTGCCTTCGCTTTATGTTCCTGGTGAGGGCCATGAAAACATAGCTGGGACGTCAGATAATTCAAAACCCGTGAGGCAAAAAATCCTCAAAGAGAGTGGGTGGAGGAGGAGCAGAGACCCTCTGTTTTGAAAACAACTCAAAAAAATCTTGGAAGGAGATCATACATCCCATTTGTGTCTTCCTCTCCAAAGAGGAAGACTTTAATCTGCATAAATTAAAACATGAATTGGATAAATATGCTCCTTATTTGTATTACTCCCTTTCCTGAATATTCTTTATTTACAGGCCTCATGATGCCCATTGAATGACTGAGCAGATGGATATTCTTGTCTCAAGGCTTTGCGGAAGGTCATGGCAGGCAGGAATTAATCTCCCTCAATACTCGCCCAGCTGCATGGCATCTGCCATTTTCTAGGTCAGGTTGTATGTTATCTGTGGCTTGGTAAAGTGTATAGTTGGAATGCAGGGGCAACTGAAGAGAAAGTTGAACTGTTGCATTTCACAGCAAAGGACTGGTCTTTCGAGAATGGGAGTGGGAATTGGATGTGAGTTCAGGGAGAATGTAACAGGAAAGAAACCAGAAGAGTAAAATCCCTTGTCCTTTCAGTGCCTTCTTTTTCTTGAATGTATAGCATATGTAGATGACTTTCAGAGTAACACCAATTCATCTGTAGCTTAATTGTGATATTTTGTTCTGATTTTCATTACATGGATGCTGCTTTTTCTCCTGCAGTTTCAGGCATACCTCAAGTTTCTTGGTGTGTTATCAGCATAAAGGACATCATAGAGAATTGCCATTGCATCACACTAAGGTAAAAGTGTATGTTGTCCAAGGGTTACTGCACAGAACTAAGACTCTCAGATCCTGAAGTTAATTTCCTGTTTTGAAATCAACTCTGGCATGTCACAGCTGGGGCCCATTATTCTGAGAGCTGCTGAGCGCTTGTGATTCCTGTTGAAGTCTGAGAGCTGTAGGTTACAGACACTTCTGAAACTGCAAGCTCAGTTGTGTGATGTTAGATTTTCCACAACAGCCACTTGAAATGAATGGTCGTTAAAAATTCAGCCTGAAGCTTCTCATGCCTCTTTCTTAGTCTCTTCAACATGTTCAGTGATTACTGTCATTTCCACAGGCAGAATCGTCAGATAATTATTATTGAACTTTGAGGTTCTGTACAAAATAATGCCATTTTGTACGCGTGACAAATATCAAAACACTGGCAACTTGGACATTCAGATGAAGAAATAATAAAATAATTATAGAACTAAAAAGTGTTATAGAAGGTGAAATCTAGATAAATACTAATAAAAAGCTTGCCAACAGCAAGGTACAGCCAGTGTTTAAAGTGTTAACCTGAGATAAAGATTAGATTCAGTTCCCTCCATACTGGACTTCTGCGTGATCTTAAGCAAATAAATGTGATTGTTCTTTTCCCACTTATAAAATGTAGATAACACGCTTTCCTCGCAGGTGTGTTGTGAGTGTAATCACAAGAAAGATTGCACAATTCCCAGAATATGGGAGGGTAAGAATACCCTTGAATCGAGATTGTTATACGTAGAGATTTGGCTGTGTAGGAGCCCTCTGCCTCACACAGTGTTTTCAATTCAAAGTGCTTTACATCCTGCTTTGAGAGCTCAAACTTTATTACAGAGGGTCGGAATATACAAATCTGGGTTTTTCTGTATATGTAAGCCCACTAAAAAAGCAGTTTCCACAATAATACGGTCTCCTTTAATCTAGCAACATTATGCTAATTTTTAGGCATTTATATTAGGGAAATAAGATTACAAAGATTTTGAGAAGAGCTATTTATATTACTTGATATTATTTTTAATTACGTTCTGATCTCATATCATTTAGTGTTTCATGCTTGAACACCAAATTTTCAAATTAGAGAAATTTCAAGTAGCATTTTCAGGAATATCTAGGGCACTTGGGAGTCCAAGTTCACAGATATACTCTTCTTAGTAACTAGAGTATTTGTAAAGATGTTTTACTTTGTGCATAGCCTGCTGTTATTAAGATAACATTAAAAAATAAATTGAATCAGAATACCTTTGTAAGTAAAATGGCTTTACCTGGATAATTTTGCTAAAGGAAAGCTGCTCAGTTGCAGATAGATGTCAGGTAGCAGCCAGAGCACATCGGAGATTTCTACTTGTACGTGGGCATTTTGAATGAAACGTGGGGTGACAAAGAGATGACCCACACCCAGCATTACAAAATATCTAGATTTTTTTCTACATTATTTCATATGTAGAAAAACATATCCATGGTGCTGTTTATATTGATGTACTGGTGTACTGTTCTGCTGTTTAAAATCCCCATATTCCCCACCGGATACTGCCTTGTTTGTTGCAGCAGTGCCCTCTCCTGTCTGATAGCATTGAATGTATGTCCAAAGAGCTTTTTTCCCCAAGTCTCAAATATTTTAATTCTCCTTCTTAAAAAATTATCTACCTTTAAAAAGACAGAAAGAAAAGTTTTAATGATATCGTGTTGCTTCATTAATGTACAAGTTACACAGTAACTTTAACTAAGCAAACACAAAATATCACGTAACAAAGCTATGAGTATAGATGTGTAATTTCCTATCTACATTCTCATCTAAGAATTAAGGTGGAAAAAATGGCATTTCGGAACTGCTTAGGCATCTTAAGTCTCCAATACAATTAATCTACTAAAGGGTTAAGCCAGTCTCCTGCATTCATTTCCTAATTTGAAAAGTTAATTCAACATCTCATTGAATGCATAATGCATCTCTCCTTTTTCTTTTTTTTTTTTTTTTTTTTTTTTGCTTGTAAAGCATCAGTATCTCTGATTTACACAAGAGAAAGAAAATCCATATAAGTTCAGGTGTATTCTGACAATTTCTGAGTACTCCAGTACTCAGTATGGAGATATTTCTGTGGGCCCAAGCAGAGGGAGCGTTTGTGGAGACAGACTCCCACCATTTTGGATCCCCTTTGAAGTGCTGCAGTTCATAGGGTTTTGCTGACAAGTTGGGGTTTGTTCTGTAGGTATGATTTAACTGTGCTTAGAAAACCAGCCACTGTTGGCTGCATCACTTTGTAACTGTAAGCAAGAGACAGTGAGCAACTAGGTTCTGTTCTCTCTTGCTCGATCTTGAGCACTTTAGAGGTCTCATGATGTCACTAGAGTTGAGCTGAAATTAGGACTTACATCCTCACTGAGCTGGGGTCCAGGTTAGTGACACAGCAGCGAGTTGTGTGTCACTATCTTTGAGTTCTCTCAGTCACATACTCCCCCCTCCAAAACCTAACAATTACTGCTCTCCATTTCCTGACTCTCTAATCCTTTATCCATTTAATTTATTTGTGAATTAAAGCTGAGTTAATTCCATATTAGAATATCCTTAAAGACTTTAAAACTACTAATATGACCCTTCATCTTCACAAGAACTGGCCAGATTTTGCTCTTGATAAAGATTGCTTTAAGCAGATCATCTGTATCGTAGTAAATGTGTTTTCCACTTTTGGCTACCCTAGCAACTTAAAGGTAATTGGCTATTCCCTGAGTTGGTAACCCAAATATTTAAAAACATGAATGGTTAAAGTTTAATCCACTGTCATGATGATGATGTGGCAATAGAAGCTGACTGCCAGGATTCATTCTTCGCCTGGAGAACAAGTTGGCAGTAACACTCACGTAGCACGGTCTCTTACGGAATATGGGATGAGTAAAGCAGACCTCGTCAACAGTTGAACGTAGGATTTCCCCACAATGAATGGATACTCAAACTGCTCTGTTAACCACACTGAAATCTGGAGTCATGATTTAGTACTTGCGCTGGGCATCCCTCAGCTGACCATTAACATAGCGTCTGTGATCTTCAACTGCACAGTCATCTTCACCAGAATGGCGACAAAGGACCTGCACAAGCCTATCTCTATTCTCTTCTGCAATCTGGCTTTTTCCGATCTCTTCACCAGCTTTTCTGGCTTTTGGATTTCAATGCTGTTCATCACCAACCCTGACATTACAATCTTTGGATCCAAGGATATGCTTGCCCCGTATGCCTTTTATACCATGTCTATTTTATCCACCATCTATAACTTGGTAAGCATTGGAGTTGAACGCTACCTGGCTGTGGCTGAAAGCATGAGGACAAGATTCAGGGTTACTAGGAACCATTCCATAGCTGCAGTTTTAATTAACTGGGTCCTTGCTTTCTTTTTGGGCTGCTTGCCATTGATGGGGTGGAACTGCTTGCATATGGAAAAAAACCTCTCTGTCCTCTACAGCCCATTTTGCGTCGACTACCTCATCTTCATCGCCATTCCCAATGTTGTGATGGCTTTTATTGTACCTTTGTTCACTTACCTTAGAATCATTATCATCCTGAGGAAAAGAAAGCTGAGAATGAAAGCATGTGGACAAGCTACTGGCACCTACAAATCAGCTGAAATCCAGGTTGCCAGAACCAGTATTTTTATTTGGCTCCTGACGCTGATCTCCTACGCCCCTTTTTTCGCAGGAGTCATCTTCGATGCAACTAACCACCAGTGCCACATTGATCTCTACCCCGGCGTCTACATCTTTCGAAACTGCACGGCGATGCTGATAACCATGAACTGTTTGGGAAACCCCATAATATACACCCTGAAAGCCAAAACGCTGGGGGCTAAACTCAAAGCTCTGAAATGCCTCTCCGCCAACCGTGTCCGCGCCTGCACTGTTGAGAACCTCTAGCCGGGACCGCCCTTGCTCCGAGAGCGCTGGTGCCCCCGGCCAGGCAGAAATCGGGAATTCCCGCCCGTCCCCGGCGCTCTGGGCGCTTCAGCACCCAGCGGGCGGACAGCTCCCGGGCGCGGCCGGCTGCGCGGGGCGCGGAAAGCAGCGCGGGCGGGCGCGGAAGGGGGGGGGGGGGGGGGGGGGGCTGGAGCTCGGGGGGCTTCTCGGCGGTTTTGGGGAGCGAGTGAATGGGGCGCAGCGTGGAGGCGGCGGCCGCTTTCCTGCGCGGCGCCGGGAGAGCTGCTGCGCGTCGGGGATAAAAAAACGCCCTCCGTTTGCGTTTGCTGTGCGCTTGGAAATGGGCTGCTGCTGCGCTCGCTTGGCTGCTGGGGCTCACATCCCTTTCGTGTCACTCGTCCGGTGCTGAAGGCTGTTAAACGGCTAGAAAATTTTCAGTAGTCGGGGGGAAAAATGTAATTTTACTTTCTCATTTACAGTCCGTCGAACTGTATCTTTGAACGTTTGATGAACCTATTAACGGGGGCACCCAGCCCTGTTTTACTGTTGTAATTTTAACTGCAATATGTAGCTGGATTACGTGGTTTTGTGAGACATTTGTGGCTACACTTTTCATATTTCTGCTTATAAGTAAAGGCACACTTGAGTCCGTGGCTTTTGAAATTTGCACAGTTATAAAATAAAATCTCATTTGAATTCTTCAGTATCAGAATTGCAGCCAAGTTGCCTGTACAAAACAAAATAAAAATGTCAAGCCCAAGTAATTTGTAAAAGGAAAAGGTCTTAACCCCCTTGTCTCTAAATAAGGAGTTGGCTACTGAATAGTTAATCTGTCAGATCCTAGTAGAGACAAATACTTATTCTTAGTTGTACAGGGATATTGTCTAAACAATACTTAAATTCCTTACCTCTTGCACAGTTACCAATTCAGAAGCCTCGATCAAATAGATCCTGGTGACATCAGCTCATCTTTCTGGTTTTAAAGTAAGCTCAAAGGTATCACACCCACACCGCGATAATGTTCCCACATTCACAAAACACACGCACGCATGGTCCAACCCAAATCATCCAGGCCGGGTTGGAGCTTTCGGGGATTTCTTTCCAGTTTGTTTGCTTTGCTGTTATTGTTTCAGCATTTCAAAAGGCTTGAGTGGACTAAGAACAAAACCTCATGAATCAGTTCCTGAGTGGGTATGAGAAAAGAGCATGTTCTGTGTAAGAAATGGGTTCACCCACTAATGTAAGAAATGGGCAAGCGCCATTACATGAACAAATCCGACACTTAGTGGTTTATGTTTATTGCCATAATTCCCCTTTTCTGTGCTACTTTACATTGAAGAACGCGGGGAGAATTTCTTCTGTTGGAATTCAAATTCAGACATTTAAGGAGATGGATGGCACTAAGTGATACATAATTAAAATGAATTATTTAAATGGATAATGTAACTCAGGCAAGACAAATCTGGCTCCATGATTTTTCTTCTGAACACAACGGTTCAGTGTTTTCTGTTAACTCCAAAGCCCTGTTTAGCTAAAAACTGAGCATCTGTCCCCTACTGAACGTATTTCAACCTCAACAACAGGAGATTCAGCCAGAACGTACCACAGGGCAGATGGTAAAGAGCAACGTGGGGGTGGTTTTATTACGTGACATTTATTATATGATGTGATTTCTATTCGTCCCTGTATTGACACTGTCAAGGTGATGCTCAACCACCAGATTATTTAACGCATCACTGCCTGTCGCAGTGATTGTCCTTTCAAAAGCAAGGTGGCAGCTGGAATCCAGCAAGAAGTCCCTCAAGATAAGAGTGTGTGTGTATATACAGATATATATTTATGTAAAAAATAACCCCGAGCCCTGGGGTGGGCAGGGTTGCGCTCGGCACCGCCCTCCGCTCGGCGGTGGATTAGCGGGCCTGGGCGGAGGCGCTCGGCGCTCGGCTGGGCGGGCTTGGCGTGGCGGCGGGCGCCATGAGGGCTCCGCGGCCGTGCGGGGTCTGCGGGGCGGCGGGAGCCGCCAAGTACCGGTGTCCGCGCTGCGCCAGCGCCTAGTGAGGGGGAGCGGGGGCTGGGGGGGGAGCGGGGGCTTGGGGGGGGAGCGGGGGCTTGAGGGGGGTCGGGGGTGAGGGGGAGCGGGGGCTTGAGGGGGTTCGGGGGCTTGAGGGGGGTCGGGGGTGAGGGGGTTCGAGGGTGAGGGGGAGCGGGGGCCGGGGGTGGGGGAGCGGGGGGCCGGGGCTGAGGGGAGCGGTGCTTCCCGCGCTTTCCCGGCGCCTCTAAGGGCGGTTCTCGCCCCACAGCTGCTCCGTGCCGTGCTGCAGGACCCACAAAGGTGAGTGGCGGGCGGGCCGGGGCCGGGCGGGCCGCACCGCACCGGTGCTAACGCCGTCTCTTCCCGCAGAGCGATGCACAGCGGAGCCGGAGCGGCAGCGGGAGCCGGAGCGGGCGGCGGGCGGGCGGCCCTGCCCCTGCCCCTGCCCCGCAGGTAGGTGGGCCGGGCGGGCAGTGAGGGCGCGGGGAGCCCCGGCTCCGCTGCAGCTCGGCCGTCCTCGCCCGCAGGCAGCCCTTGGTCGGTGGAGGACATCCTGACGGAAGATGACGAACGGGACCGCGTCCCGCTGCAGAAACTCAAGCTCTTAGGTAATCTCGAGAAAGCAGAAATCAGCTGGGTGTGCAGGTGGGAGTGGGCCTTCAGCACAGCAAGGGGAGACACGGTGCCCAGCAGTTCTTCATGGAGCACTGCAGTTTAGCCCAGCTGTGCCCCTCACTATAAGGCATCTGAGATTTAAATGTCAGATACCTGGTCTTGCACCATGTCTCTTTGAAAGCTTATTTGCAAAATAAGGGAGGTCTCAGCCACATTTGTAACTGCTCAAGATTAAGACTGTTTCGTTTTTTGTTTTTTTAAAAAGGGGAATCAGAAGAACTGAGAGGCTTGCTTCTGAACCCACATCTCAGGCAGCTACTGCTGACAGTCGATCAAGCAGAAGATAAAAGCTCCCTCCTGAAAAAGTACATGCAGGAGCCGTTATTTGTTGAGTTTGCAGACTGCTGTTTGAAGATTGTTGAACCTCCAGAGAAGGAGAACATCCTTCCCGAGTGAGCTACTTTGGGAACATTTTTCTTCCCTCTGACAAAAGATTTAGTAGCACCTCGTGCTACTGCGGTGCACCATTCTGTGTGCTTCCTCAAGGTTTGGTCACACTTTGCTCATGGATGTCAGCACTCTAATTTTCAGTTTAGAGTTGATAAATAGTGACGTGGTCTTTGACAGATATCTAGATACTAGGAATTAAACTTGATGTTCTGAGAACTTGCTTTCTGTTAGTACAGAAATACTGTCAACCATAGGAAATGTTGCTTCCCAATGACAATATTAAATATATTTGCTTTTCTTTTTTAATCCACAAACTAATCTGAAATGTTTTTGTTAACTAAACCTTGTTGTGGATGGTCAGACGCCTCTGCAAGGTATTTAAGAGTTTATTTAAAAGTGGCATGTACAGAAGAGCAGAACAATTTCAGGACCCACATGAGCACAATGAGACGGTGTGGCGCGCCTCCGCTGAGGCGCCTGGCGAGGTAACGCTGTTGACTGGGGAGTGCTGGCAACGAGTGGCAGTTGTGAGAGTATGCATGTTTTGGTCCTATAGATAAAAAACAAGAGTCCAGTCTCGCTTTTCCCTGAGACATCTGCTGTTAGTGTTAGAGCTGACTGCTACTCGCTTCCTCAGCCACAGAAGTGTTACGTTACTGAACGCTCTTGGTCAATCCAAATACCGTTGTACCTCCCAATGAGAATCCAGCACACAGCAGAAATGTTTTGCCTTCCTTGCTCTCTCTTCACCAGCCTCTTGCTTCTCCCAGGTAGTCCCACAAGAGTTCAGTTCAAGTATTTATTGCTTAAAGCGCTTGATCTATTTTAATTATGTTGAGTGTTCTCATAGTACTGATATTTTCTCTAATATGTGCATGTGTGTGAGAGGAGGAATGCCCCCCCATGCGTTCTAAATTTAAAGTATATTATCTTGTACATACAATGCATCAATGTATAAAGCTCTGAGGTAGCAGCAGATATGGACGTTGAGTAATTTGAAGGCAGCAGCTTGCAGACAGTCCTTTCCTGAAGGAACAACGACACTATATGCAGATGGCCAAAACCTATGTTGGAAGGAGTTTTTTTCTGTCCAGTAATATCTGGTTAAATCCAGTGATGGAATAGGCATCTCTGTGGGGGCTGACGTTTGCGTAATGCAGGGGAGACTTCTTACAGTGGAACTTGATAGAGCCCTACAAGAAAAAGAGGTGGAGAGATCAGTTGATGTTTTTACTAGACTTTGAGCTCATTTTGCTGTTCGAACTAAGTAGTGCTGTAGTACAAATGCAGCTAGTGAATATGAATAAGGATAGAGGAAAACCTCAAAAGGAGTCCTAGTACAAATGGGTTGAGAAGAAATGATTACTACAGAGAATACCAAAACTGTAATTTGAACTGAAATTAAGTTAAACTGAAGATTTGAGTATTCAGTCAGTACTGCTTCTTCCTATTTGTAGTAACTGACCAGGCACGGGCTACGCGCTTGCCCACATAATTTTATGCAACCTGGAAAATTTATCAGCAAAAAACCCAAGCACAGGCACAAGGTGATTTGTAACTAGAGTGGAGTTTCTGAGAGAAGTGCGTGTGGGTTGGGGCTTGTTTGTAGTAAATGGTATCTAAGACTATTCTGCATGTGCATAGGTGATGAAGTGCCAGAGGGTTGCTCCCCAGTTTCTGCCCTGAAAATCCTCTGTGCCAATTAGTCTGTGCAGTTATCTGCACAGTGAAGTAAATTCTGAATTACTGGGATATTATGAATACGCCCAGTGGCTCCTCCCCAAGCAGATGCTTTTTCATGTGTTCACCCGTGGTGCAACTTGAGTCCCCTAAGCAAAAAAAATACATAGGTCATCATCAGAGCCCCTGTGAGAATGCTCTGCTCTCCATCTCTGAGGCAGAGCTTGGGGCGGTTTGTTCCTATGACAGAGATTAAGGAGTTTTTAGCTGAAAGTCTCAACTCAGCCCTGGGTCTGGCTTGACCCACTGATGTCAGAGTCACCCTCGCGTATGTAAGCAGTGGAGAAAGGAAGGCTGTAGCTTCAGAGCAGACTGCGTGGTTGCTCAGCTCGGTAGCAGAGTTCAGGTTGCTGAACTCACGGCAGCTGAGCTGTGCTGCTGACCAGAGGGCGGGAGGTTTGTTACCTGTGGGAGAGCTCTGATGGAAGTGATGCCACAGCCAAAGAAACAGCTTTCCACCTTGTAGCAGCCGCTCTCCTGAAGTACCCTGAGGCATGCCAGCAGGGCCAGGTCCCTCCGAAGCCCCGTTACAGTAACGGGTGCAGCAGCCAGGACAAGGCCGAGAGGCCAGAACTGAATTATTGCCTGCAGAGGCCAACTTGTTTCCAAAGAGCAAGGTGGTTTGGCCGAGGTCACCGTAGCTCCAGGAACTGAGAATGCCTTTTCTTCACCCTCGTCCAATTCTGCTGCTGCTAACGCAGCCATTTTTGCCTGATGAAGGGAAGCAGAACAATATTCTTGAATGAGATTCTCAAAGATCTTGAACAGAAGTTAAAACTGCAAAATTAAGAGTCTAAAAAAGAGGGCATCTTCAAGGACAGGGACGCCCTTTGGGACATTTCCCCATTTTATGAAGGTAAGGAACTGCACTGCCCCCCTGCAGAAGCAGCTGTAGGGGACTGGCATCCATCTTCTGCATTTCAGCTTAAGATTTTTCTGGAGAACTGGCAATATTGGGTTTGTACAGCTGCCTGACAGAGGCAGATTCCTTCTCAAACACTGAAAAGCCTCAGTCACTCACTTTCAATACTTCCCTGTACCAAAGCACTTACTTTCCATTTCCTCCAGCCACGCTTAATGACATCAGCAGCCCTGTGCATCCTTTGGAAGCGGTTCTTGGCTAACCAGGAACGAACAGCTGAAGATTTAATGAAAAGAAATCTGAGTAGAAAGAATGTCAGAAGCTCTTGCACACAATGTAAGCGAGATGGCACTTGAGCTTTCTCCGGGTTCGATTAACATAACCGCTCCTGCCACTTTAAACTTCCAGTGTAACTGGAAATGTTACTTGTTATACATGTTCAGCCACACCCTTATCAAATTACCTGCTTGGATGACAGTTGCAGACCATCGTTCCTTCGCTCGTTTCTTCTGTTTAAATCTTCTCCAGCAACACTGAATGCAAAATGCTTTCTCGTTTAACACCTCCGCTCTTCTTGCTTCAAGCTGCTCCAGCTGCATTGGGGATACACGCCTGCAGTTAGGGACGGAGTTGTGTTCACAACTCTTCCCTCTTCTACAGTCTCTTGGTGTTTGTCAGAAAACCACGTGCACATTTCAGTGTCGTAAGTGCTGGATGAGGTTTTAGAAGTGGGAGCACTTCATTAGTGCTTATTAGATGACATGCAAAATGAACATGTAAGTATCTGAGGGGGAAGAGTGTGTTGTGGGGGGAAAAAGTGGCCACTCCCAAAGTCACAGTAGCAGCTGGCTTAAAAACCAGCTCAGCTGAAGGGGGTTTCTTATGGCTGCATCCTCTAGCAAGCAAGCTTTGCCAAAGTGCCGTGGTCTCCCTCGTCTCTCACAAAGAAGCTGCTGAGGCCTGTCGGAGTGGCCAAGTCCGCCAGCTGAAGCTGAGGAAAGCTAATCTTCACCAAACAGGGAGGATACTGGTAACAGGAGACACAAGTGCAGCTCCTTGCCCGTTAACAGCAAGGATGCCATTCAACAAAGTGCTTCTGATAGTTGGATTCTGATGGATGTTTGATTTAGTTTAATCATTTGGGAAAATGTCAAATTCTGGTCACACTTGCGTTAGCAGGAGTATCACCTAAACCGTGATGATAATCTGTGCCAGAATCCTCATTGTGCAAGTACGCTCCCAAACTGGTAGCCAAGGAAATAGCACTCTTACCACAGAATTAGCCATAAATACTTTGGTTTTGCCACAGTACACCAAAGCGTTTTCTGCTCCGTTCCCTGTTTGCTCAGCAGTAGTTTGTCCCACAACAACATTCTGAAGGATCTCTAAAACAACAGAGCGTGAGGCTTTGTCATCACCCACCTCTGGAGTCTTGCCTGCGAAGGAAGCATTGAAGAGAAGGCATCACACCACTGGGAAATCAGGACCAAGTAATTGTCTTTACACCGAGACTTCTTGGCCATTGAGGGGGAACACACCTACACCCAGAGGGGAGGAGGTGATGGCTGAGACATCACTAGATCTAGGTGTGTTTAGAGGAACAACGTGACAGCACCGATGTCACCACGTGCTAGCAACTAGAAAACCAGCGTGGTGTGTTTTAATTAGGATGTAGTTTGGGTGCTGTTTTATCACCTCTATTATAAGCCATCCAGAGGTAGCAAATGCCATTTTGGGTAGATTTCAATGAGGAGAAACACGTAAAGGGGGCTCAGCTGTTCTCACATTGTTTAAAGCGTCCTACATGGAAACATTAGAAAGCAACAGCAATGCAATTAAGAATAGATTTGAGCGGCTGAGAAAAGCTGGTGAACTACCCAAAACTCAACAGTGTTGAGAAGAAAGAACAAAAAGCAAGGAATTAGACTCCTAGCCTTAATATACTGAAAGATTCAGGAACAGAAAACAAATTCTACGGCTTTCATGGGGCATCAGAAGCAGCTACAGAGACAGGTACTAAGCAGGAGTTCATTGCAGCAATGAGAGGTTATTAAAACCATTTCTGGGACACAGTACACAATGTTTTACATTATGAGACAAACAAGTTAGCCAGATTAATCTGTTTGCAAATAGAGGTAGACTTAATTCAGACCTGTCCTTGATAGAGATTGTGTTGTTCAAGGCAATGCTGCATGAGTTTCTGCATGCCCAGTGCAGGAACTTGATGGTCTTTGTATCTTTCCATCCTGGATACTGTTTGCTTTTCTGCTATAAATATTCTAAGGAGATGAGAGCATTTTAAGGTACTGAAAACAAATATAAGCAATCCTTGCCTACAGGAAGACATCTGGTGACTATGATGGTGTTCATGGGGCTGGGGTGATAAGAGAACCAAAAGCTTATCCCCGTGTTTAGGAAATTGTTTTGCTTTGTTTGCAGCTTATTACCTGCTAAAGATAAAAGGGACTGGTGACCTATCACAAAGAGGCATTTCAGCTAATGGGTTTAGAATTGAGGGAGAAAGATACGGTGTGTAAGTAATTTTCCAGCCCATACTTCATTACTTCTTTCCATTTCCGCCAAGTGAATAGATTTTCAGCCACTTTACTTATCTAACATAGGCTGGTACTTACTGGTCCTGCTTCCCACGTCTACTGGTTACTGAACAGCCCCACTGGGAGAAGATGGGATTAACCTAGGAAAGGGGGTTGC